CACAATAACAGTAGCAGATGGAACCTACAAAATGATAATCAACACTTCAACAGTTATACATACAACAAAGAAAGAAAGATAGAATCTTCTGAATGTGATTTTTTTTTAAATAATGCATTATAATTTACACATACCACTGAATAATGTTCATGGTGACCATATTCATCACGATCTCTTCTTCTATCTGACCTGTCATGTTAGAGGAGAACAGAGGCTAAAGCAGAATCAAAATTTGCTACAACATGTCATAGCGGATAAAGATAAAAAAAAAAGATGAATTTCATGGAAGAATTCTTCCTAAAACTTTTGCTGATTTACTTGGACCGGAACTAAAATGGGAGAAGATGTTAGAAGCACCAGTCCCCTGTCTTGATGGAGCAGCAATACAGATCCATGATCAACTTTTTGTTTTTGCAGGATATGGAACTATTGATCTTGTAAGAACCTGAACTTCACAATTTTTTCCATACAACATGTAAACAAAACGTAAGTTTTATTCTTTTATTCTTTTATTCTTTTTTTGGTAGGTGCATTCTCATGTTGATATATACAATTTAACAAGCAACACATGGGGAGGAAGATTTGATATGCCAAAAGAAATGGCACATTCACATCTAGACAATATGGCCCATAATGTAGGGGACCAACATCACATACATTTGTCCTTGACACTAAGACCAAAAAATGGGAGGAACACAAAACATACCCTCGGGTGAAATCTTCACGGGTAATAAAAATATCTACAGCAAAAACATCCTTCCTTCCTTCTGTGCACAGATTTGGCTTGACCACCACATATTTTGTTTTGATATTGTTAGCAGCAGCAGCAGCTAGTATCGTCTACTAAGATTGTCCCTGGTGAAGAAAGGATGTCTTAATGTTGCACGTGCTGTTACCATCTCCAATGGATCATATCTTAATAGCCCTTGCAACAGATGAATTAAATCCCCTGATGAATGGTCTACATGCTGCATTATCAAATTCTGCATCATCCATCACACAACCAACTTAGAATCCCATTCCATTCCTCTTAAAGATAAGATACTAAAAAAGAGATGAGATCATTTTGTATGTGGGTATAATCACAACAAACCTACAAGAATAGAAAAATAACAATCAGATTATACATGCATATACTTGTAGAGACAAATAAAACTAACCGTTGAATGTCAAAAATCTGACTTGTTTTTAAGGGGTATCAAGATTCAGCTTCACACAGTCAGCCCTTAGAAACACATCCAGCCTACTCAACTGGCATACACAAATTTACCCAAAAAGTATAAAATCAGAATACTGGTTTTCTTGAATTTTATCATTGATTGCTAATTAAAACTATTTGCTCTTCAGGAAATTAAATAAGATTCTACCATTCGAAAATCCACATCATGTCAAACGAGTTCGGAAACAAGTCCTTGGTGAAGGTTTTGCCTTTTCCTATGATAGAAATAGCATAAGACTTGGCAATAGTTTATATGATATATAACACATTATACATATAGCTACCACATAAAGCAATCTAGCCCATGATCCCAAAAGTTTGAAAGAAATGCAACTTAAATCTATTGTTATTGTTAAATAAACAATATCTCATTCTCATAGTTCACTTTTGTGGCTCTCATTAGGATGTATCCATTTATCATTGATCTTATGTTTAGCTGGTGAAAGTGATAGCCAATTGGACATCATACCTCAAGAGATAGTGGAGCTAATACATTCCTATAAGTTGGAAACTTTTAATTACAAAAGTATGATGTTTCTATATTTGGTGATTTAGAGATGTATTTTGTTATTGTTATGTGTCTCTATCTAATGAAGATGTACCTTTAAAGCTTGATGCTGAAAAGAAAAGATCAGAAGAAACACTTGAGAAACAAGTGGAGGGAAGCTTAGAAACACCAGTCAAAGCTACAGAGCTACAGAACCTGTTGAATTAGAGATGAACATTCAAGAGATGAAAGAACATGTCATGTTCGAAGATGAGATTCATCTACAAAAAAGCATATAAACACAATCTAATTATTATATTTTATATATTCTAAACATTGTTTCAACTTTATTGCTAGTATCTATGTTTCAGGCATGAGAATGGGAAAATACTAACAACATTTTCGATTGAGTCAAGCCTTTATTCAACTTTTGTTTCATGAAGGTGGCGTAGCGTATAGCCTGAAACATTTTCACATATTTAAGTTAAGTTTGACAGAAAGAGAAAAAAAAAAGAACACCACAACTAAGGGAAACATAATCTAGTGATTATAGAAGCATCTCATGCTGTAATTCGAGTTAATTTTATGGTGTTTGATGTTGAAAAACTTACACAAATCCATATACTTAAACCTAATTCTCGTATTCTTATGGATTCTTCTTCAATTTCAAGAACAAAATTATTCTATTTATAACATTTAGTATGATACAGATGTAGTCAGGAGATTTCTTCCAAAAAAAATTATGAATATAGGTCGATCAATTCGACATTGAAGTAAAGTAAGCTAAACATACCAGTCCAAGCAGTACCAATAGATGCTATGGAAGTTAGTAATGTAAACACAACTTTATGCCTCTCATATGTATCCTATCAAAATGAAGATCATCAATGAAAGGGGAAAAAATAGGGGAGATATAAGTAAGAAGCCCTAATTGCTGCATAATCACAAACGACCAAATTGGATGAAAAGCATAATCATTTAAAATATCTTGGTTGATAAGAAAGTATCTTCAAGAACTAAACTTAACCTAATATACGACAAAAAAAATCAAGAGATTTACCTGAATCGGAAGTTAATGAAAACAAATTTTAGATTTTATGGAGGTTGCCGGAATCGGAAGGCAGCAATGGTGAGGTGTTTTGTCATCTGTTTAAACTGAGATGGTGATATTAGGCTAACATAGCGTAGGGATCTTACTCCAGAGTGATAAATCAGATTTGGGAGGGAATGAAACTTACAACAATTTCGTGAAACTAGAATTGTGTTGCGCCAATTTCAGCGAGAGATCGGCGATTGTAAAACAAAAACGCAAGTACCCCAAATAAAATTTTCGTCAGCGTTACCTCGCTAAACACATACCAGATGGAAAAAATTGGCAATTTCTCTATCTGTCGCTCAACCCTCGTTGAAATGTCTTCATCTTCGATCGATTGGCGAGGGTGAGGTGCGTCGATAAACACTTACGAGATCTCTAGGTGATTCCTCGATAAACCCTCGCTCCTATGAAAAAATGTGGAATAAATAAAGTAAATGTCTAAAACATCGCACATCTGTTGTAAATCCCTAGCTATAGGCTAAAATTTTGCTACAGGATTTATCCGTCGCTAAATCCATCGCTGAAACTTAAGTTTCTAGTAGTGATGGTTCTCCTACGGAATGCTACAAATGCGACGAAGGAGTCTAGGGTCCCTGGTATTCTAAATGTGGTGGGTCATCTAACTGTGGGTTTACTTTATATGACACTATTACAATGAAGGATGGATAATTAACGATTAATGTGTGGTGTGGTGATAGTGAAGATGGAATTTGAAGAGCTATGTGCAGTAGCCATCAACAGATAACAATTGCAAGCGCTGGCGACATGGGACCAGACCGGGTCAACAACATTTGATTGCTTTGAACAGGAACGTAATCGGACCGTGTCTGTCGAGGAACTTGCTCGGGTATTTATTATTATTATTTTTATTATTAGTTATTAATTATTAATTATTAATTAATAATGATGGTGCTGTAGGAACTTACTTGGTGGGTAACTTGATGAATATTAACAATAAATAATACTTTTTGATGTTGGTTCTTAATCTTATAGTATAAAATTATAAATAAAGAAAATATTATTAATTTTTGTGCTGAAATCCCACCAAAAAGCAGCCTAATCTAGATATGATTACTAATTAGTGTTTGATATGATTTACTGGTATTTGGCACCCCGGGTTCTTTCCTGTAATGTCCAAAAAAGATGAAGTGGTGCAACTTCTAAAAAGGATAAAGAGGTGCAATTTCTTCTTTCTTTTTCTTTTGTTTGTTGTATAAACTTATTTGTATTAACCGAACACCTTTTACCCCACGCAACGTGTGGGATACTTTTCTAGTTTTGACTAAGCCATCCTTAAAATCATTAAATTAAGACCTCCCATTCATTTGGCCATGCCTCATCTGGGCCCGGCATGTGGTTTCTGTAGACTCTAGAGTAGAGCAAGATACTTGCATATCCACAAAAAGCAAAAAGCAAAATAACAGTAAAAACGCGAGTTTTTTACCACACCGTTGCTTTTTTAAAACTTATTTACCAAACAAGTGTTTGTTTTAAACATATTTACCATTTAGGGTTATAGCAAGTCAAAAAAAAAAAAAAAAAACGTAAGACGCAACCACAGAGACCAGTCGACGTTCTGACACCCATTCCCCAAAGTCACGTCTTCAATCGATCGCTTCTATCGTCGTTCGATTTCGGCCATAGCCGACGCCGGCGGCTCCGATTCCGGACACAAACGGACACCGGCGACTTGATTCCGGCGAGTACTCCACTGCAGAAGACGACGGGGACTGGTTCTTCTTCGATTCTGGCCATAGTCGACGTTGGTGAATCCGATTCCGGCCATAACAAACTCGGTTGTAGCTTGATTTCCTTGTAAGTTCGAATCCTCTTTTGATTTTTGATTTCAGCTTTGTTAGTTTTGGATTGATTCCAACTATTATTTGCTATTGCATTCCACTGTTATTTTGTTATTTGCAAACAGCAAATAACAATTGATTTCTACTCTGATTTATAATTGTAATTTGCTTATTTGCAATTGTTATTCCACATATAAGTTAATAGCAAAGGGTTAAAAAAAATGTCAAAAGTTATATTAAAAAACACTAAAAATTAAAATAATAGCCGCAAATATTAAAAAAGTTAAAAAAAATACTATTTTGGTAAATATTTTGACTGATATACTGTTTTGGTAAATATATTTGAAACTACACCTAGTTGGTAAATATTTTTTTCAAACGCACCCATTTGGTAAAAAACTCGTAAAAACGCACATAAATTAGTAGGAATTTTACATGGATGCGAAGCTAGTAACTTAACACACGACCAAATTAAATCTCTCCAATTATTGAGGACCTAATACTACATACGCCTCTCTAAAGTAGAGCAAAATACTGCTTGCATGCATATGCACCGACACCGTACTTAAAAAAAAACTAATCACAAGCATGATTATAAACTCCGCAGATGATCTTCAGATGGCATAGCGAGTTATAGCTTGAGATTATGAAGCTGGCGAATGTTGAGAGGAGAACAGATGTTTTCGTCACCATTCAACACATGCTGAGCTATAATGAAATTTGCTGCTTGTCCGGGATGATATGCATCCCAGAACAGATACTTCGATCGATCATCACAAAGATTTGAGCTAATTTGCCTCTCTTCACCTTCAATCCGAAAGCAGAAAAATGGAGGAATGTTTCCTCCACAGCAAGGATCGTTCACATTCTCGAATCCTACGTATAAATTAACCAACTTTTAACAAGTTAATTAATTATACGGAAGAATATCGATTATCAAATTATCAAGGTTGGATATATGATTAAATATTAAATACCATAGTCACGATAATTTTGCAACATCTCACTTATGACATCGTAAGAATTTGCATACACGAAAATGGAACCGTTTCCCATCTCTTGATTTAAGATATTCACAGCCTGACGTAACTTTTCATTGTATCCGCGAATCAACATGTTCATTTCTTCATGGCATTTTCCATCTGGTAGCAGGTGTATCGCACGAACAAAAGGTAAGCAACCAAGAGGTCCTATATCGACTACAACAAACTTTCGAGCCCCTAGTTCATGCAAGCGCTTCCAGGGAAAAACAAAAAAGTTAATGATCCAAACAAAACAACAACATTAATTCATGATGATACATAAAGTTAATAATCAATTAATTAATAGGCACCTTAAGATATGAACCCATATGTGCGACCATGGTCTCTTGTAAAACGGTATGGGAAACTTCGTTATAACTGCCAATGAAAGGAATCTTTGGTAGGAAGTAGGTTATAATATCATTATTACCAATCGTTAACGAGAAGATTGCATTCTTTAGTAAATCTTGTGTACGATTTTCTCCCATCGTTTGGACCATTTCAGCTCTACTTTGCTCAAAATGATCGATTTGCTTTCTTAATGGAATGCGTCCAAGCTGCACAACGACATACTTACGGATCTTAACCTTAATTAATGATATAATTAATTAAAAGAACACCTGAAATCTTGTTATATTATTAGCGACAGATTTGGCATTTGTTTCCAGATTTTCTATTAATATTCTATAGAATACACGTACATAAACGGCACCAGTTTCCTCTAGTATCCCAGAAGCTCCAGAGCCGAAGTTTATTCCACCAAGTAACGCGTTAGATGTTGCATTACCTGCCAGCGATGGCGAAGCCAAGGTCTTGGCTCCCAATGCTTGTGCTATAAATGCATAAGCTTGAAAATGATTATTTTGTTTATTTCATGATAAGTAATGTATATCAGACAATAAATAATGAGATGGGTTAATACCAATAATGTCAATAATGGTGAAACCATTTGTGTATCTTCCTGTAGGCTTGCCACCAGAAGGCGTAAAGTCTATGCCATATGGAGAGTAGTCGGCCTTGGAGAGACTTGCCAAGTGGTTATTGTTTCCGGCATCTACAACGGAGTCCCCAAATGCAAAGTTGGTGTAAGAAACACAACGTGAAACATGAATCCAACACAAAACAACGAAAAACAACGAGTTCATGTTCATTTCCATTTTCATATTCATTTGTTATTAGAAGATGGTGTGGTTAATATATAAACAATTACCTTACGCAAAATTATCTTGATTGGAGCAGTAGGTTCCAATGACGTAAGTAGTTTAGGAGAAGCACATGCAGGCTGCATGACAACCATATCTTAAGGAAAAGATACTTGAACGAGTCTAAATGAAATGGTCTACGCACATATTGCTGTACTCATTCACCAACCACACCCTAAGATAACATATTCACCGGACAATTATTACATGGGGCGAATTGTTTGCAGGTATGTATGTGTATCGTCCAATGTGACCGGTTTGGACAATAAAAAGTTGGTTAAATCGGAAAGCATGGTTCGATATCAGGAGTTAATCAAACCGACCCACTTCGAATTAGGGATCGAGAAGAAAAAATTTCAAAACATCGATAACATGCTTCAAGGGAAAAAGAGAAAAAGCAAATTAATTGGGCGATCGATTCGAATCATTGTCCTTAAGAAAACTATACAAGCGTTATGTATATATTATAAACTTAATTATATATTAATAATTTTAGTGGTTTTGTGAGATAAACGTTATATATTTCTAGCAATATTTTAAAAACCGGTTTTTAGTTGAACCCGTATGGTGATTGGTTTCCGGTTTAACCGGTTCGATCGCCGGGTCAATCAGTTTCTATAATTTTTATCTTTTTTTCTATTTTCTACACATACATACATATATAAATAATAAAATTAATGTTTACAAGTTCAAACATTAAAAATACACATAAAATAAATTGTAGATCAATCGAAATACATTAAAATAACATATAACCATAAGTTTTAGTGTTTTATATCAATCCATATATGTCAAAAAGAAAATAAAGTATAACATCGAAATAAAATATAGTTTTAGATAAATACAAACACAACAAAAAACTTTATAACATTTACCATAAGTTTTTATTTTGAGAAAACTAAATAGAAAAAATCACCAAAGTTTATTATGCAAATGGTTCTTTTCTATGTGTTTTTATTCGGTTTAATCGGTTCAACCGGTTTATTTTGACTGGTTCAACTGGGTTTTTTAAAAACCGACCGGTTCAATCCGGTTCAGAAATCGGCGTAAAACCGATGATAAATGAACCGTTCCCTTCCTGGCTCTTGGTCCAATCGAATTTGACCAGCCGATTTAAACCGATTTTTAAAACATTGATTTCTTGTACCAAAAATTTGTCAAAAGTTTTCTAATATGGCAAATAGTTGGTTTGGACTTTAATGATTTTACATAAATAATAATAATAATAATAATTGTTTTAGTGTTTGTACCTAAAATTTGTCAAAAAGTTATCTTAACGAGCAAATAGCCCGTTTAGTTTTTCCTTCCCAACCACCATGTTGCGTCGCAGGCACATCAACACACCAAAAATATTACTCCCTCCGTCCCAATATTATCGTCCACAGACAAAAAACACACATATTAAGAAAAACATTAATTACCACTAACTTTATTTAATAAAATGACAGTTTTGTCCTTACTTTGCATTTAATATACCATTAAATGCTTAGTTGGTTAAGTAATAATGAGGGGGTATTTTGGTAAAAATGTTATTTATTTTTAGAAGTGGACTATTATTTTGGGACAAACCAAAAAGGAAAGATGGACTATAATTTTGGGACGGATGGAGTATGAAGGAAGGTGTTTTTGTGTGGAATTGAACTTGGGACCGTTGGAATAAAAAAGCAATGTTTTAAAAATCTTGAACCGGTCTCTCAAACCGGTTGGACCGGAATCGGTGAAGGAAACGGTTCAACTATCATCGGTTTTATGTCTATTTCTAAAACCGAAAAGAACCGGTCGGTTTTTTACAAAAACCTGGTTGAACCTGTTGACCTGGTTAAAATGAATAAAAACATATGGAAAAAAACTATTTTGCATAATAAACTTTGGTAGTATCTTCATATCTATTTAGATTTCTCTAAAAAAAACATATGGTAAACGTTATGAAGTTTTTGATGCATTTTATTCGTCTAAAACTATAATTTGTTTCAGTATTACACTTTATTTTCTTTTTAATGTATGTAGAGTGATGTAAAACTTATTGTTATGTACTATGAGGTAGATTTGTAGCCAGTAAATCGCCGCTAAAAGGTAGATTTGTCGCCGATAAAGACAATAGCACTGACACGTTGCCGCTAAAAAGTCGTCGGTACTGCCATGTCGCTGTTGCTCAAAATGTTGCCACTAAAAATATTTGCCGCCATTAATACGCATGTCGTCGGTAATACCTTATGTACCGGTAATAACCTTGTTGCCGGTAATGCCCTCCGTCGCCGGTAATATTATTTTTCATTTTTAATTTTTTTTTTAATCAACACTTTGCGGTCAAAAAAACCGATACGTAACGATATTAAATGCAGAAAAAAAAAACTTACATAACGACATCCAATTAGGTACCAAATAGTGTTATAATTTCATACAAATACCAAAATAAACAACAAAAGTATTATAATTTCAACAAGTACCAAAGTGTCACAACAAGTCTAACATACAAAGGACAAACTAATTATCCGACGAACCATCATCTTCATTCCCCTCGTTTCCTCCTTGATCTTTCTCTGATTGAAAAAACTCATAATGTTCTTCCCTACAGGCCGGGTTGTTGAGCATTGTCCGAAGATTTTCCAACTACAACTTATAAGTTAAACTATCAAACATAAACAAAAACTACCAAAGTACATTGTTATTTCTTGCACTTAAATACAATAAATGCCAAAAGTACATTGTTCTTTCTTGCACTTGGGACATAAACACAATTACCAAATCAACATGCATTTATTGATGCCAAGGTACATTGTTATTTTTAATCTATGGACAAATAACTAAAGTACATTGATATTTCTTGCACTTGGAACATAAACTCAATTACAAACACAATTACCAAATCAACATTCATTTATTGATCATTATATAGATATATGAGACTTTGAAATTAAATAGTCTACTTTTTTGTGTTAAAGAACCTTAAATACAAGAAATACCAAAGTACATTAATTTACAACTTAATTTCATGTGTATTTTTAATGTTTGAACTTATAGACGTCAATTTTTTAATTATGTATGTATGTGTAGGAAAATAGGAAAAAAGATGAAAATTTTAGAAACCAGTTGATCTGAGGGTCAAACCGATCAAACCGAAAACCGGTTACTATACCGGTTCAACTAGGGGTACAACCGAGTCAAACTACTCGTGAGCTACTCATGATCAACTCATTAAAAGCTCGACTCGAAACCGATTTTAAACGAGTCTGAGCCAAACTCGAGCTTAATATTAAGCTTGTTTATAAAACGAGCTCGAGCTTGAGCCTATTTCACTAAGCTCGATTAGGCTTGCGAGCCTAAACGACCCTATACATAATATAATTTATTAATAATTTTATATATTAAAATAAAAACATATTTAGGGAATTAGGGATTTAGGGTATTTGTAAACGAGCTTCTTAACGAGATCGAACCGAGCATAAGCTTATTTAGGCACGTTAGACAAAAAATGAGCCGAGCTAGAGCCCGAGTCAATCTTGTATAATTCATTATGAGCTCGAATAGAGCTCATTACAAGAAAGCTCGAATCGAGCTGATCTCGCTCGAGCCTTGTATAACTTAAATGAGCCCGAGTCGAGCCTGACTAGGCTCAAGCTCGTCTTAGCTCATTTACTGCTCTAGGTTTAACTAAAAAACCGTTTTTTAAAACATTGTAAAAAAACACCCGACTAAACCATTGCACCAAGGTACATATCAAACTTGAATTTTAGTGAAAAAATAAACGCACGCCTTAACAACTGAATTAGGAGACATTTTTTGTTATTTAACCATTGCTAAATTAAAATAATATGTATTAATCACTATATTTTTTTCTTTTTTATTTTGTTGAACGAGAGAAGGATTCCAAAACCTTCCATATGACGGTTCGTAGAACCCTAAATAGGGTTTCTAGAATGTTCTTAATAGCTGATAGGGATAAAGATTTGAATCTGCTTAAAATAATATTATTTTAAATTCAAATCAAGGTTTATCATGGAGACCCCCTAACTATAAATAGGGTCTCTTAGCTTGCAAATTTGGTTCATACCTTTTAAAGGAGCATAGGAACGAAATTTCTATCCCCTCTCATCTTTCCTCTTGTCTTTTAGTTTCACTAGTACAAAATTGACCAATGGCCATGCAAAAAACCTGTCACTATAGACATTTTATTACGGTTTTATTTTGCATTCAATGTGAAAGGAAAGGTCGCATCATTAAATGTTAGTTATGGTGACATTCAATTGTGGTGATTATAACCCATACAAACCGTCACCATAGGGTACCAATTTTTGTAGTTTTTTCAATTATTTTTGATAACCGTCACCATAAACTACTTTCCCTCACAAGTTGTTTTGTTTTCATGACTATTGCTGATTTTTAGTGACATATAATACATTAAAACATGGTCATAAACTACTATTAGCTACATGTTTTTTCATTTGTCATGGCTATTGTTTACTTTTAGTGACACGTAATATATTAAACCATAACCATAAACTACTTTTAGTCGCACGTTTTGTTCATTTGTCATGATTATTATTAACTTTTAGTGACACATAATAGATTAAAAGGTGACCATAAACTACTATTAGTTACACATTTTTTCGTTTGTCACGACTACTATTGAATTTTAGTGACATGTCATGATTATTGTTGAACAACTTAAAATCATTTATATGTCAAACATTGACAAATTAAGATCATGTACAAGATCATGTACATTATTTTGATAAACAACTTAAATTAATAAATAAAATACAACATTCATATATATATATTGGGTACCATCAAGCAAAGTAGTGAGGAAAAACCATAACAACTGGGACAAAATGGTCCAGCCTAAGAGTAATAACTCATAAATGCTGTAAAAACTGTAAAAACAACACATGGGTAAAAATATTCATCATTCGATAATCAACACGATTCACCACACACCACACATTTATATTCAACATATTGTTAAACCATTAATATAAAAGGT